GTGCCTTACAGAGCTGCTTTATTAAACTCTTAAGGACACCTTTTAGAGACAAATTCCAGGCCATCAGTAGCCCAGTGGTTAGATATCTGTCAGGATATTGGGATTTTGGCAGAAACATAGGCAAAGAATTCCATCAGGCTCTGATCTAATAGCCATTTTTGCACTAGGCATTTTGTATACAGTTGTAATACTAAATTTGTGAAATTCCATAAGATTACTGCTACTTCCCAAAAAGAACTCCTGTCTGTGTGTGTGCGTGCATGCTTGTCTGTGTGTTTGTGCCTCAGACTGGTTGCCAGTGCATGTGCGAAGTATTCGGCCTATGAGACTTTCCCAGATTATCAGTAATTGGCGAAGTTTTTCCCACATGCCTGTTAAATGTAGAAATGAAGGGAGAAAAAGAAAGATATTTTGCAGAGTGGTGATAGCTTGGATAGATTAGAGCCCTTTTTAGGCTGTTGAGTCACCATCATGTCCCTCAACAATAACTATTAAACTGCTCTCGAGTAGGGCGCCACTCCTCACCCCACAACTGTTCCACTAAATTAGGTTAAACATTATTACACGTTTCATCTCATGCCCAAAAACTGATCTTTTGAAGAGATTTATTTTTTTAAATTACCCAAAAAATATCAAGTCTTTCAAAGCAAACAACCACACAAAAAAGAAACTGGCTCCCGGACTCCTTCCAGGTACATCTCTTTTCATTTTGGACTGTTGTGGACTATGACTTTGCAATAATACAGTATTGTCCTCTTAGGTTAACATATTTGTACACTTATACTGAAATAGCAATATTGAAGTAAAGCACCTGTTGAGTCTGATTGATATTTAATGTGTGCAAGCCCCTCTCCACCTACAAGCAATCCCCCAGACTACTGCTGTAAATTGGGTACTTCATTTAGGTGATGTTCTTGGTGAATACGCTTGTTAAATCATGATTAACTTAATAGAGATACTGTATGGTTTTAGCCTCTAATCTTTTACAGCCCTACTACTACTACTACGATTTCTCCATGCCAGCTAGCAATACAGTAATAACCTCCATCAAAGTTGTGATTCAGTGACGCATACAGTGAATATCAGGAGAAGATGCACTGCTCAAAAAAATAAAGGGAACTCTTAAACTCTTAAACAACACAATGTAACTCCAAGTCAATCACAATCCTGTGAAATCAAACTGTCCACTTAAGAAGCAACACTGATTGACAATCAATTTCACATGCTGTTGTGCAAATGGAATAGACAACAGGTGGAAATTATAGGCAATTAGCAAGACGCCCCCAATAAAGGAGTGGTTCTGCAGGTGGTGACCACAGACCACTTCTCAGTTCCTATGCTTCCTGGCTCACTTTTGAATGCTGGCGGTGCTTTCACTCTAGTGGTAGCATGAGACGGAGTCTACAACCCACACAAGTGGCTCAGGTAGTGCAGCTCATCCAGGATGGCACATCAATGCGAGCTGTGGCAAGAAGGTTTGCTGTGTCTGTCAGCGTAGTGTCCAGAGCATGGAGGCGCTACCAGGAGACAGACCAGTACATCAGGAGACGTGGAGGAGGCCGTAGGAGGGCAACAACCCAGCAGCAGGACCGCTACCTCCGCCTTTGTGCAAGGAGGAGCAGGAGGAGCACTGCCAGAGCCCTGCAAAATGACCTCCAGCAGGCCACAAATGTGCATGAGGGTGGTATGAGGGCCCAACGTCCACAGGTGAGGGTTGTGCTTACAGCCCAACACCGTGCAGGACGTTTGGCATTTGCCAGAGAACACCAAGATTGGCTAATTCGCCACTGGCGCCCTGTGCTCTTCACAGATGAAAGCAGGTTCACACTGAGCACATGTGACAGACGTGACAGAGTCTGGAGACGCCGTGGAGAACGTTCTGCTGGTTGCAACATCCTCCAGCATGACCGGTTTGACGGTGGGTCAGTAATGGTGAGGGGTGGCATTTCTTTGGGGGGGCCGCACAGCCCTCCATGTGCTCGCCAGAGGTAGCCTGACTGCCATTAGGTACCGAGATGAGATCCTCAGACCCCTTGTGAGACCATATGCTGGTGCGGCTGGCCCTGGGTTCCTCCTAATGCAAGACAATGCTAGACCTCATGTGGCTGGAGTGTCAGCAGTTCCTGCAAGAGGAAGGCACTGATGCTATGGACCGGCCCGTCCGTTCCCCAGACCTGTATCCAATTGAGCACATCTGGGACATCATGTCTCGCTCCATCCACCAACGCCACGTTGCACCACAGACTGTCCAGGAGTAGGGCGGATGCTTTAGTCCAGGTCTGGGAGGAGAGTTGGATCGGCCTGTAGTGTGGTTTTCCACTTTGATTTTAAGTGTGACTCCAAATCCAGACCTCCCTGGGTTGATAAATTTGATTTCCATTGATAATTTTTGTGTGATTTTGTTGTCAGCACATTCAACTATGTAAAGAAAGGAGTATTTAATGAGATTAGTTCATTCATTCAGATCTAGGATGTGTTATTTTAGTGTTCCCTTTATTTTTTGAGCAGTGTATAACCTAATATAGCAAAGGTGCTTTGAACTTGCTGCCAGAACTCCAAAGACACAGGCATTTGTGTGACTTCAGTTGGAGAAAGGAAGCCAGGTCACCACATCCTCCCATATTTACAGCTTGCGAAAAGCCAAATCCATCATCAGTGTAATGTTACAAGTATGCTACACAGTGCCAGGACATGGAATGCGCTCAACAAACCAGCTTTAGCACAGAGAAATACATGGATTGTAGAAACCTGACAAAATTATGAAGTGCAGGCATGGAGATGTGTTCTCAGTATTAACCAAAATAAATACTTTCTCCAATTAGCCTCCTAATTCCATCTGGAAATCAACAAGCAAATTTCTGGAGTGGCCTCTAGAACGACAGTATTGTCCCATCCATGATACAGATGACTGGGCTCAGCTTTCAGAAATGCATACATAGATAAATGCACGCATTCTACACACAGCCTGGAGCTAGAATTAAGTGGTGTAATTGCTGACAAAACCACAGAGACTTGACACCATCTCACCAGAGAAGAAGAAGATGAGGGAAATGAAATAAGCACACCGACTGAAAAAACAAAAGATAGCGCACACCCGCAGACGGTCTCCGGCTGATACACACTAACACGCACAGGATACACTCACATGCACACTGATGAATTCATTGGTGGACTGAATAGCTAGAGCGCGCAAACTGTTCAAATGTTGCAGAACTATGCCACTTCAGTGCCAGATGAATGTTTTGCCTGTCGTCTGCAGATGCAGGGTGCCCCTCATCTGTTGACGTGGTATTTGTCATTTGGGACAGCCACAACTGGAGCCATGGTGGGGCCATAGCTGATTTAAAGTGACAGGGACGCAAGGCCATCTTATTCATCACAGGGGAGTGGCCCGCATTCACTGACTCCCAAATTACCGTCCTATTTGCAGGCCCTGCCCCCACTACAACCCCACCTATCACCAGCTGATCTATGGTGTGCCAACAAACACAAACTAGGTGTCATCTTGTTGGGACAAATAGGCAACAACAGACTTAAGGGCAGGTGGTAATCCTTCTCCCATGCTTCAACTGTGTGGTGTTGGAGAATTCATTTTATTGTGCCCACGAGCTGCTGTACAAGCTGTTCTCTCTTTCTCATATTTTATTTGCCTCTCAGTTGCTTTCTTTCTCCGCTGTTAGAACATCTTCTCTCCTTCTTCTCTCTCTCCTGCACTTGAACACGGTGTCAAGAAATACAAAAGTGTGCGGCTTTTGGGAGCGAGAACGAGAAACACTCAACGAACGTTGTATTCTGACCTCAGGCTGGATTCGTTGGAGGTGAGCAAAAGAGCGGAATAGCATATTTTAGAAAGTTTTGCACCATTTATTAAATTGCACCTTACCTTGCTGAGCTGACTGCCCGGTGAGCCGCTGTTGTTGACAGTGTGGCATTTGATGTTGAGCAACGATTCTCCCACGGCATCATGCTCTCTGCTCGTGTCCTTGTCAGTGTGGGAGTGGCTGTCAGGGAGCGGCGAGGTGGCAGACGAGGGGGGGCGTTGAAGTGCCGTGCAGGAGAGACCGAAAAAGTTAGACGGCCGGATCAGAAAGGCCTCCAGGGCTATGTTAGCAGATACCTAGGGGGGGGCAACACAAAAATTAGGAGTGGGGGAGTGAGAGAGAAGGGTTGGAGGGTGGGAGAAGGAGGGAGGGCAGAGATTTTTATATTAGTCATTTAGCAGATGCTTTTATCCCAAGTGACAGCAGAGAGGGAAAACAATAGACGGAAGCGAGAAGAAACAAAAGGAAGCAATTTATCTTTCGCTTGCCTTATTCTAGCTATCTGCTAGAGAGAGATTAACTTCTCATTATTTTAGGCTGCAAGAAAAAAAAGGTAAAGCTATGGGACATTTAGTCAGATAATCAACCTTTGCCCTGACAGAGTGTGGTCGTGAGTGTCGGTGTTACTGTTTCCAGTCATACCTTAGAAATGACCTGATTGTCTCTGGTCAGCGCCAGGTCAGCAATGCGCTCCACACACTGGACGATCCGAGTGCACGCTCTGGCCTCATTCTGTGCCATCCACAGGATATGCTCCTCCACAAGCATCATGTTGCTGGCTATGTCTGATATGTAGTCCCCAAGCTGCGGGAACACAAGCAGACATGTATCCGTGCACACAATTACGGAGATTGTACGTATAAAAAGCTGACACGTCTACACACACACACACACACACACACACAGCAAGAGGCAGACTCATCATACACATCAATCATATCCACAACAACAGGCACATTTATAATCTCCAGTCAGAAGTGTGAGGGAGGCAATGGTGGCTTCATTCATTATAGGAAGATTTAATTTAGATTAGCAGCTCCAATGGGGCATAATCGCTTCCTTGGGATGGAAGTTCCCTATTTACTTACTGTACTTTTCATTGTTGCTTCATTTGACTGTTCTTTATTGGATGAATGAGGGTAGTCTCATCAGCAATGTTTTAGGAATGATAAACCTCTAAGTATCTCCTAATATCTGCTCCCGAGTGACCTGTGATGAGTAATTGGACAAGTGGGAGCAAATATTGATTCTTTTCACTGACTATGCTCTGCACCCTTCCCTTCGCACAACCTGACCTTCAGCGTGACGTAAAGCCCTCCGATTGCCTCTGGCCACAGACAGAAGAGAAGTTCACTTAAAGTAAAACATGGCTTTCCCAAGAAGAGATGCATCTTCATAACCATAATTGTCATTCAGGTCCAACGCCGCCACGGGCAAGAGGAACGCGTATGAGGTGAAAAGTTAAGCTGTCTGGAATCGATTGAAGGATTGAAACCAGAACAGCATGTTGCCATGTCTTTTTAAGCAGCCCCTGTTGTCTCTCGCTGACATCCACGTCCAAGTGTCGTAATCTGTTTGCTCAATTCTGGCCCTTGAGACACTGTTGTTACCTCTAGATGAGCTAGTGTTTTTCCTGATTAACCTCATCCTAGCTACAATGACAAATTGTTGCTTTCAGAGAAGCAAATGCATGAAAATTGAATAGGAGTAACAGCTAGCAATAACAGTAAAGAAGTTCCCCATAAATTGCACATTACAAATTTGTGTAGTTCCTTCATAATGTGAGGGGGGGGCGTGGAGGGAGAGAATTTGCAACAATTTGCGTAACTCCTACCGCTTCTCAGAAACATACCTCACACTCGATCCACAGACACATATTTTTAGATTAAGTGTGACTTACACTCTCCGAGGATATCAATATCTCCGATCGAGAATAAATGTCCAAAAATCCGCTTAAAGATCATCCAATTAAGACGTTACGTACTTCAGAATCATGAAGTTTTCAATTTATCTTCAGTATCAAAGTAATTCAGTGATAGCTCTGTACATCCGCGGGCACAATACAAACAGGAACTGCTAATAGCTAATTCGACATACGTTTAATGGTGGCAATTTGGCACAATGTAAACAAACTAAAAAATAGGGCTCAAGTTGTTGCCAACGTGGAATGCTGGAGGACACAATTGTCCCAATTTTGTCTCTGCCCCACAGTGTGAGACTATGAAAACCTCAAAGGAAATAGTTTTTTTTTGTTTTTTTGTCATGCCTGGAATTTAAGCTTAGATCACATGAAATAAACTGTCTGCGTGTATCTTTGTTCACTCTTACATCTCTACGCTTTTCCACCAGCCTTGTCAGTCTCTCCACCAGGTGTGTGACAAAGATGACATCCATGACATCTGTGAAGTGTGCCGCCCTGCTGGTGATGGCCACTAACTGTTGGCTAGAGGCTGAGCATTTGTGGTATTAATAGTTATCTGGAATAAAAAGGAAATTATACAGCAATGTTCAGAGGGGATGAACACACAGTACATCTTCACAATTCAACCCGACATGAAACATGAAACAGCTTTGAAAACATATAATAGATAATGCATCACAGTTGTGCTATTTCATGCTATGCATGAAGTTCTGTGAACTTGATTACTTAATCCCTTGGGTAATGTAAGATTCAACAGCTTGTCGTCAGTTTCTATTATGTATATAAAGGATTTACATGTACAGATCTGCAAACACCTGCAGGCTACAGATGAATCAGAGGAGATGTTAGTTTCTGGGAATATGACATTAATAAATCTTGCAGCTAAACTGTAGATTGGCAAATATATAAAAGTCAACATTGTGAACATCCTACTAAACTTGACAAATCAAAGAGAATGAAAAAATAGTCAGAATCCCAGCACAAGGTCATCGTACGTATGGATACCTGTGTGAGGTCATGCAGCTCGCGGGTCAGTTCACTGGCATACGGGCACTGAGTGTAGTCCTCTTCGGCCCACCGTCCAACACGGTCACAGCTCCGCCACGCCTTCTTCTCCCTCTGTATGGAGTGGGGGGCAGAGCCAAAGGTGGCAGGAGCACAGGGCAGGAAGGCCAGGATGCCAGCTAAAGTCTTTGGCCACCTACCACATAAGACATCTCCAAATTATCATGAATGAAATATGTTTTATAATCTACACTTACTGCACCACACCACAATTTCATACTCCCCATACTTATATTTGATTTAAAGCTGGTTCTAATTATGTTTGCAGAAGACTGCCAGATATCCATACTTGATTGTGAAACAATGTGTTATCTCTAGGAACTTTATTCCAAACTTTACTTACTAACTGTAACAATCAACTTTGTTGTCGTTCCACTTTGTGTACAGTGTAACTAAAGATGCCCCACCAATTTTACACATCACGTTTAGGTAACTTGTCAGGGGCACTTAACAGCCAGGGAAGGTCTAACAAATTGAATCATGGAAAATGAAGGATTTGTTGTTTTGGAGCTTAACCCATATTAGGGCCTAAAAGTGAGCATTTCTCTGCCTCTGCTGTTCTGTTGACCAATCATCAGTCTTTCCCAAGTCCCACAACTTTATGAAAGCGCAATACTAAACTGCTGGAGCACTCCTTTAATGTAGGAAAGTGAAAATGCAAAAGGATGTATATATGCGGAAGGACCCTGTTCCTGCCTGCTCCTTCCTAAAGGGGAAAATCAGCCTAAAAGAGTAATTACAAGTGTTGTTCGTATGGCCATGCAAAGTTCAGTGAAGTCTCCTCTGAAGCAAGAAATTACTTTCTCAATAATGTCATCAAGAGCCAATTCCTGGAGCTGCTCTACTGACCAACCTGTGATAGGGGCCAGGGTGATTTTATGAGGAAATGGAAAATTTTCATTTTCTGGGTAATGCCTGTTAGTGTTTCAATAAAATAAAGCTCATTTGAGTGTTAAAAGTCAGCCAAACATTCATAGTCCACTACATTAGCCTCCATTTCCCAGATCATAAAAGAACTCCAGGTTTTCTCTCTTGGCGGTGCTGCAGATTAAAGGTCTTATTTTTGTGCTTCTGCAGCTTTAGGAGGGAGTTGTTTGTGATCACACATATTGATCAAATGGTCTACAATCTGAAGGGAAACAGGCGTCTTGTGTTTTTCTCCTTAAGGTCACATCAAAATCCAACTGCAGAAAAGTAGCTGAAGTAATGCTTAATGTGGCAACACTTTTTGACTTCATTTAAATGAAAATAAAGGAGCGCCGCACTCAGGAGGCTGGTAATCTGTTCTCAGTGTAGAGACCTGCCATCCCACTGGTCTCTACCCCATGCTATTTTTTTCCCTCTCTCTCCATCCACGTTGTCGCAGCAGCGGCAGCAGCAGCAGCTACTTAGTAATAAATGGCGTTAATTTCGCCCCCAACCAAAAAGGGGGCTCATTTTCCAGCCCATTACTCCAATGCCCCCGGCAGAAACAAAGCCTCTGTGCTGGCTGCACTGGAAGTGGGCTGTAAAGTACAGCGGCTACAAAGGATCATACACGACAACAGCACACCCACGGGGGAGGAGAGGTGGAGGATGTGAGTGTGCGTGTACAACTACAAGGTTTAAAGGTGGTCATAAGTAGTGGAGAACAGCAGGAAGGAGGATAGATGGAGGGCTAGGAGTGTTTTTGTGGTGTTGTGTTCCTCTTTTTATGTGAAACCTCAGTCATTTTTTACAGTCTTGCTATAAAGCTGGACCACATTGAGCCGTAATGATTGTGGGGGTTTTCATATCACATATCCAATTATTAATGAAATATATGAAAGGCTTTACTGTACATACTCAATTCTGGTCTTTGACAGTTAATGAGCCGCATCAAGGGGCAAGGCAGACCAGGTGTGGCAGATTTCAGGTGGAACAAAAACCAGCACGACACCAGCAAGAACCAGACTTAAGTACCTTAACTGCACTGTACATGGAGAGATAATAGCAGAGATTACAGCAAGGCAGGAATTCAATGGAAGTCATGAGGAGTGTTGGGCAGTAGCGTTACTGTAATAATATTACTTATCCTAGTAACTAAGTAGTGTAACTAATTACTTTTCTAAAACTGTAATATTATTACTAGTTACTAAGGCAAGTAACGCTACGTTACTCGTTACTGAATGCACCATCATTGACGTAAATCCACGACTGTGCGACGGCTCAGCGGGACGGGACTTTGTTGTTCATGTCTGCTGAGAGCCAAAACTAAAGGAAGAAAGGAGAACAAGGGAGAGAGGTGTTCTTTCCACGGCTGCAAGTAGCTGCTGCCATTATTGTGTCACAGTCTAAGATGCAAAGAACAGTGTCATCTAGTGTAAACTCGATGTTTAAAAGTCAGGATTTACTTGCTTTATTTTTATTTTTTTAGCCGGTGGCTAAACGTTAGGCCTAGGCTATATGCTCTGTAAAAACCACACTCCTTGCTGCTGTTGTGAATATGATGTTAGTTAAAAAGTCGAGGGAGACTACTTTGTTTGGGGGTGAAGGGGGTAGTAGGGAAAGCAGTTTTTCCCATAATTACCCTATAATTGGGATAATTATCAACACGGACCGCCACATACTGATTTTCCAAATTTTTATTAGGCATATTTAAAATCATTTTTGATTAAGGAGCTGTATTGAGGAGCATCTATTCGTGTAGCACCTCCTGGCTCGCTGCCTCTTTCTCTCTCTCTCGTGAACACCGCTGCACAAACCTGTCCAACGTTAGAATAACCCCCTCCCCCCCAACCCCAGCCCCCGCTGTCATTCTTTGGGAAACACTGGAAAGTAATATAGTAACGTAACTAGTCACTTTTATCACCAAGTAATAAGTAAAGTAATAATATTACTTTTTAAAGGAGTAATAAGTAACTAGTAATATATTACAATTTCTGAGTAACTTGCCCAACACTGGTCATGAGGGCCATGCTGCCATGCCTCCTCAGTTTGGCCTTATGCCGCTCAAAGAATCATGAGCCCTGTGGCCAGAGTGGTCTTGATGCCCCCATCTGATTTCGCTGTTTCCTCCTCAGCCTCTTTCCTCTCAATATGGTTTTTAGACACAGGGTCTTTTGTTGACATTCTGAATTATTTTTGGGCAACATCAAGTAAAACGCTAGGCACATAACCAGTGGTGAAAATGAACAATATATTATGCCAATTCAAATATACTACAGACAATATTGTTACAAGACCATTTGAACCCACATGGTCAAGCGGCCGTACAGTACGTGACCACTGAGAAGTGACTCACCTGAACTCCCCCTTGTTATTGGTGACTCTGTCAGAGGGGCAGTATGGTGCTGACGTCTCCAGAACAACTATCTCCATTTGCTGAGAAGTGTTGCCACGGGAACTGCTCACCAGGCACTCCCAGATGCCAGCGATGCCCACGTCAATGTTGGAGAGGATGACCTCGCTGGAGGAGGAGAACAGAAGCGTAAAACTGTAGGTGTTTGGAAATATTTGTTTGTCATCGTCTTCTAATGAGATTCAAATGTCCTTAAAAGGTTCGTATAAGGTGTTGGATTAGGATTTAGTCTTGGGTTTAGGATTAATGTAGACTGGGGATTTCTTTTGTGTTAGGACTTGAATTTAGGGTGGTTTGTATTTGTGTTTTGTGGATTAGGTTAAGGATTAAAGTTAATCATTCGGTGAGGAGGGTTAAGGTTAGGGCAACATCTTAATAGAATCTGTCGTCAGTGGAAGCACCTCAGCGCGATGGAGTACAAAATCGTATGTGCATGTGTGTAAATCAAGTTCATTCAAGAGACCCTTGTGCATGTATGTGTATGCAGTGGTTTAAAATGTTGGCCGTGACTTAAGATGATCATTACTCATTCTTATCTTTCCTACTTTGTCACAGTGATTTCTATCTCAATAGAAAATGCCTGATTAAACAAAGGATGGTGAAACAGTGACAACGAGCCAATGCAGGCCATTTGCCAAGGCGACTAATCTTGAGGATTTTACTCCTTATGAAAAAAGGAGAAAAGCCGGCGGAGATTGCTAAGCAACGAACACTATCACCATGGAAATACAACCTCCTTGAGAATGCCAACTGTTTAATTTCCAAATACAATCCAGATGTAGTTAAATATACACTTTGTTTGTACTTAAAGAGCTAATGCCTTTTTGTGATTTAATTAAGCTGTGTGTTCATAATACAAGTCACAGAATATCCACACAATACTGTATAAAGTTTTTAAATGCGACTTAGGAAACAATGTTTCACAAACGGGAATGTGTGACAGTTGACATTAATAATTATAAGTGACAGGCTTGACAAGAAACTGAAATCTTTCAGAGTAAAGATGATTAGCCGCTGAGCGGCTCTGATGAGGAGGAGCTGAAATCCCAGAAAACATTTCTCAAAGGGTGTGAGAGAAATATTTATTCAGAATCATTAAATGCCCTCATTTCATCTGCTTCTCTCTCTCTTCTTCTCCCTTTTCTGTCTCAATATGCTTACTACAAGTACAGCCATTTTAGGCCTAAGCCTGTCCCAACATGCACCAGGCAAAAGTCTGGAGAACACCGTAGCCCATCACAGGACTAACACAAAGATAAACACATTACGGGTGCACAATATATTGACTCAATACCGTTATCAAAATATCATGTTGCCCAATAACATATCGAAAATGTCGCAGAAAGTTTGCAATTTTACATTTATTTTGGGAAGAGATGAGTCCGTTGGCTGTGTGGCTAAGTTATGTTCGATTTAGACCCCTCTTGAAATTTTATTGGCCAGTTGCCCTGTCACATGCAAGTGTGAGCGCACAGGTCCACTACACGAGCATTACCCTATGGAGCATACCACGTGATGTGTGTGCATACTTCAACAGTGTGTGAGTGAAGAGAAAGAGAAATGAAAAAATATCTACTAAGTAAGGAGATGAGTGTTTTTTACGTATGTTTAAGAATATCAAAATTAATATCGTTATTGCAATATTCATGATCAATATTGCAATATCCTATTTAGTCAATATTGCCCTAAAATACATTCACCAGGGCTCAACGTTTTTGGGTTTGAAACTTACTGGCCCCAAGATAATTTTTCCTGTCCCTCCCTCCAAAAGTTGTAATTTATCAGCCATTTAAAAAAAATACTACACAGAGCAGCGGATACGAGTCGCTTCTATCGTGATTGACAGGTTGCCATGGTAGCGACTTGTCAATCACAAGGTAGTTCCGCCCAAAAGCATATGCCACTTTATCGTCTATTTTCCTCTAAAGAGGACCATAAATTACTAAATGAACATCATGCTGTGTTGAAGAAGACTTGAAACAAGCGACTGTGACTGTAAACTCGTCAGGAAAGTGTTTACTTACGTAATAATTCAGGTGAGTAAGGTCATTTTACAATTATTTCTAATAAAACCGGACTTCTTTTTGCAACCAGCGGACTCGTCCAGATTAGACAACGTTGCGCACCAAGTGCTGCAAAACAACTGCAGGATGTTGATAATGTGAATATTGTTTTTTATGTATTTTTTTTTATACTAATGGTTTTGCACTGGCTGGTTCAGAAGTCAGAAGTGAAGTAACGTTAAAACATTAAATAAGTCAATGCTGACATTTGGTTTCACACGAGACACGGGCCCCAGTCTCCTGGCTGAAAGTCCTGTGTTTGTTTGACCTATCTGTCTATATAGGTATAGCCCAGTTGAGGTGTTACCTATTCAACCTTGAACTGCATGTCAAGGTGGACAGAGGACTAGTGATAGTGAGAGACAGCCAGCCTGAGGAATAAGACTGACTCGAAACACAATATGAATTGCATTCTGGTCTATTGAGTGCTAAAATTGGCATTCTTGCCTTCTCTACCATGAATTTCTCCCTGTATGACCTTTGGTCATCAGTCCAAAATAGTGCATTTAGACAGAGGGCTTTGCTCTGATTCTGATGAACATGACATGACCTTCAGTGTTTTAGATAGCAGAAAACTCAGTTTGATCAAACTTCTCTGTAGTTATGTTGCATTATCTTGATGTAATGTCATTGCATGCATTTGACAAGCTATCGAAGACAATAACACAACAAAGAGTTAGATAAGTTATTACAATTTATCCTGTGGGGAACATGAATTTCTGAACCGAACAAAGTGGCAGACTGACCAAACAAACGAGTGGCATTGTCAAACTGCTAACTTAGCAAAAAATTTGAATATACTGTTATTAGCATTGCCATGTAAAGTTATGATCCTTATAGGATTGAGTGAAATAACTAACTGTAGTTAAGTAATCACTGAATTCCCTAAATTACATTTTAAATGCCTATGCCTTAATCATACACTACTAAATATTTAAAGTCTGATATATTTCAATAAATTTGAAAGTTAAATATAACCCTTCATGAAGTCTGTCAGTCAAATGCTTTCAGTCCTAACTAAGCTCTAGCGTTTAGAATCCACTAGAGAGGTAACGTGTGTATAACTAATAACTGCCACATTAAATCACATTGTTCTCTGGTGTGAACTTGTCTCCACTGCTGTTTGTTTTGCAAGAGAAAACAAACGCAAATCAGAGAGTGCTGTTAACATTCCCTGTGCTGAATGGACCCCATGACTTTGCTCCAATGACTTTCTGTGGGCGAGTTATGAATATGAATAAAATAAGTCCTGATTTCATCTTCTGTGTTCCACTAAAGCTCTCTTTTCTGATTGCTTTTCTAAAAGGCCCTAAATCAGATTTGAACGCTTGACTGAGATGATGACATTCTGGGATAGAGAACAAGTGTGTATGTCTGTGCGTGTGTGTTACTGCCTGTGAATACATGTGAGGGATTTTGCATGTGCGTAAGTACATTTTCAGTTTTCTGAAAAGCACTTCAGGACATTTTTTAGGTAGTTCAGAAGAGTTTTCGCACCAATCATTTAAAAATTTGGACAGGAGCTTCTCAAAGTACTGTCATTGAGATATATTTTATCCAAACCTTCCTGTAAGTCGAGTCACTGTCCAACACTGTGATGATGTCTCTATATATAATTTACTCAAATATTTAGTTTCAGGAGAAATTTTGAATGGTAACCCTAGCCTTTACCTCTCCTTCACATGCTTATTGTGTCTCATACTCTTTCAGTCTCTCACTCTCTCTCTCGGTCTCTTTCTCCACCTCCCTCTTTAAAACAACATCCTCCCTCTTCCACAAGGTGCAAGTTGAGTGTAATGTGTGGATGGGCTTTAAACTGAAACCCTTTGGGCTCACTCCAACTGTTAGCCTGTCTCTACAGTGCAACAGTTATATAATAAACCACATACGTTGTCTGAAAACCTGATCTAAACAGATAATATACAGTGGATAATATACTGGGAGGTAAAGTAGAAGACCAATATGTTAGTCACAGGGCCCACAGTAATTCTGAGAATGTTACCAAAAATGTTACAAATACTATAAAAAGCCAGAATTTTGTACTATGCTTCATGATTAAACAACACAGATTTTGTGGTATTTGAGAATTCAAGACCTTCCTCTATAGACTCCACTAGACTGAAAAAAGGAGAAAATAATTTGTACAGGACTACTAGTGGAAATCTGTTTTCACCAAATATGTGTGGGCATAGTCAGTATTTTGTTTTGACTAAATAGAGCTATAACCCCAACCAAGAATTACCAGAATAAAGAACCCTGTCTGATTTCCTTTATCTGCATGTGGCTTCTATACACTAGAATCACATGGGTAAATTCACATTGCTCACATCAAGCGCCTTGTATTTATGTAAAGCAACTTTGCCTGGCACTATGTAGAACTGAAGATTTCAATCGAACAGCCAAATGCTTTACGGCATCAACAAAACACTTCAGCAAGCAAGCTATGAGAAGAAGCAAAAAGTATGTAATGATTAATGTAAGTTCTTTGGAAGGAGTTAGCTCAGTATTCTCAGATTAGATATCAGGGAAGAGGTTGTGAAAAGTCCAAAGAAGAAGTTGCAGGAAGCGAGGAAGCGATAAAGAGAGAGTGACAAGCAAGTGACTGGACAAGAGCAAATTTCAGACTAGCTGTTACTCATTGGTGTGAATTGAAAGAGCTGAAGGGATGCAGGACAGCCCGAGGTGGCATTCTTGCTATTGGACTAGTAAGTAATAACCTGTTGTTGATGTTTGGCTGTATTAGCAAAGACGATGACTCTTGCAAAATCAGCCAGAGGTTTCACAAAGTTTTAGCTGCTAGCTATAAATCTCAAGTTGATGTTAGCAAACTTACTAGATACTCAGACATACGTAACTGCTGTCTAGCTTTGTTGGCTAGCTTGCCACCTAAGCTTCAAACAACGTTATGCTGCTGCTGGTGAAGAGCGGCGCTGGTTTCGAGCCGAGCAAGCCGGTGTTTTTAGGTTGTATAGATATATGGGCATAGAAATACTTGAGGGTCATGCACATGTGCAGAACCGCTAAGTAGCACATCTCAATAGGTAGTATATATCGACAGCACACCTGCAGCAG